AGCCGCCATTTCAGAAAGAGATTAAAGAGAAAAAAAACTAAGGAAAAACATCCCAGTCCTCACCAAGGGGAGGAATGTTGCATGCTGTATCTTGTGAGGTGAATAGTTATTTCAACAGTCTCATTGGTTTATAACCCATCACCACCAACACTTTCTTCTCTTGTTAATTCATTCTTATCACTGTGGCTAAAAATGGCAGATTGCACCAGATGGAAACAAGGCTTGCTACCATTTCAAAGGTTGTTTCTGAATCAGTATTGAGTAACAGCATTTAAGTATATATTTTAGATCTTGACCAATGGCTCTTCCTTGCTGCCAAAGGTAAATGCTCTCCAAGCCAGCAAGAAGGTAGACGTTCAGACAAGATCTTACAGCTAAGGGACAGGTACTGCTAGCCTGCATTACTGGATCAGAAGTCTGAATATATGCCGAAGGAACAGCTTAGAGAGTTCCTATCCAAGTGCTCATTCGCCTCATTGGTTCAGCATTTATTGAAGTCACATGTCAGGCTCCGAAGGACCAGGGAGAGAAATAAGTGCTCTTACTCCAGAATTCCAGGAGTAAAAGAGACACTCCTGGATGCAATTGATGAACATAGTGTTGAAGCGGTGTAGTAGAAATAGGGGGGCAGGGGCACTTCAAAAAAGTGCATGGAAAAATGGAGTGAAAAGATCTTGGAGTTTCCCCATGAACTCTGTGTAGCTCCCAGGACTAATGAACCACTGCGGAAGGCCATGGGCTCTGTTCTGTCAGTCCACCTCCTGTGCAGCCTCTCCCTCCTCCATCAGGAGAGCCTTGCATTTGTGATGAAGTGAAACGGGTGCCAGGGGGAGTCTTTAGGCTCAATTAGCCTAGGAGCAAAGGCCTGACCTTCTCCTTCTGAACACCAGTTGGCAAAAACTCTCTGGATCACAGCAGTCACCCCCAGCCAATCCTGGGGAGGACCCAGGGACCAGCAGCAGGGGTTTCCCCCTGACTTGAGGATGAGGAGAAGACAGGAGGAGGTTGTGGTGTGATGGGGTTTCCTTGGGGAGCTGGCTTTGAAGTGTGAGGACACATGGTCGTTACTTTGTGTTTGCATCCCTCGGCTATTCCGTTATGCACATTCTTCCTGGGACTCTTAGATCTAAGGAATTTGGAGCCCTTTCCAATATTGTGTAGTATTTTCCCTGGTGTTTTTGTAAGTAAATCAGACCCTGGAGGGGGACAAATAATCTTGGTCCATTCTCTGTCCTGTTTTTTAAATGTTTATAAGAAAAAATAACTTTCAGAAGCGATTCAAAGTAAAGAGACCTGCCCCCGCCTCGCCAGGAGCTTGTCACTAATGAAGGGGGAGGTCAGGTGATGGACGACCCACGTAAGGGGCCAGGAACTCAGTCAGTGGGGCAGGAGACATTACTTCCGAGACAATGTGCTACTGCATTTTCTTCTTAACTCACTGCCATCGAGTCAGTGCGGACTCATATCGATGCCTGGTGGGTTTCTGAGACTGTAACTGTTTACCAGCGTAGAAAGCCCAGTCTTTCGCCCTCGGAGCTGTGAGTAGTTTCAAACTGCTGACTCTGTGGACTGTAGCTCAACACTGAACCACTGACATCACCAGGGCTTGGGCAAAGAGGATTGAGATACTCCATGTGGGTAAAGACACTCCATTTGGAGAGTAAGACATGAGCGAACGCACGGAGTTACCTAGTGTTACTGGAAGAGCGACAGGAGCCTTGCAGGGCAGTGGATTCTGTGTTGGGATGCCAACAGTCAACTGGTGGGTGATTCTAGTCCACCAGCTGCTCTGTGGAAGAGAGAGGAGGCTCTCTTCCCCTGGACACACCCACAGCGGAAAACCGAAGGCGCAGTGCTTGTCTTCAGAGAGTATCACTTCCTTGCTGATCCCCAGGTGGCCTCTCCCTCTCATTTGTTTGGCGTTGTGGGTAAAGGGCTGCAAGGCGATGGTTCAAACTCACCCAGTGGTCCTTAGGAGAAAGATGAGGCTGTCTGCTCTGGTAGATTCAGTATTGGAAACCCTGAGGAGCAGTGGTTCTCCACCTTCTTAATGCCTCAACCCTTTAATACAGTTCCTCATGTTGTGGTGATCCCCAACTATAAAATTATTTTCATTATTACTTCATCACTGTGATTTTGCTACTGTTATGGATTGGGCGACCCCCGTGAAACTCACAAAAGGGTCGCGACCCACAGGTTGAGAACTACTGCAGTAGAGGGTGGCTATGAGCCAGAACCCCTGGTGGCAGTGGGTTGTCTCCATGTCCATGTGGCTCTTGATACCACTCAGAAACTAATATTTTACCTTTCAGCGATGACCTTTCAGTGATGGGGTCTTCCAAACAAATCAGATTACATCCACAGGTACGAAGGTTAGGATTCCATGACATATTCTTGGGAAGCGACAGTTCAATCCATAACAAACAGCAGGGACACACACACACACACACACACACACACACACACACACACACACACACACACTAGTTTAATCGTTCTGTTTAGGGAAGCAGTGAAAAAGCAAGCAAGAAAAACTGATTGGGGCCAGATCACAGGATCTTCATGTTCTGCTTTTTCTCAGAATTCCAGACTCATGGTCACTTGTTCCTGGGTCGAACCTGGAGGTGCAATGACCTTGATTTGATAGCAACTGGTAGGCAGGAGAGAGAAGAGCTTGAAGACTTGCCAGACCTCCACCCACAAGGAAAGAATGCAAGAGAAAAAGGGAAAACAAATGCATTGCTGTAAGGCCACTTGATGCTCACTGGGCTCATGGGGGTGGGGCTGGGGAGGGGGTGGGGTGGAGCAGACTGATGGAGAAAAGCATTGACAAAATGATAAGAACATGCTTTTGAATCGGTCAGCCTTGGGCTCAAATTTTAGATTCAGAGCTTACTAACTGCAATCCTAATGGAAGTATTTAGACCTTCTGAACTTCATTTTTCATGTGTGGCCAACGGGAAGAATAATACACCTTTGTAGAGGGTTATCATAAGAGTTCGAGGGTGGGTGACAGGTATGTAGACTCCAGGTAGACCTCACAGTCACCAGAGCTATTCCCTTACCCTTGGGATCTCAGAGTCCCAGCTGACTTTGAGATTTTTTTTTTTTTTGGAATAAGTTACTTCGTTGAAGTAAAAACATATAATTAATGCTAATTATCTAGTCAAGTAATAAAATGTTCTTGGACTAGATATATAAATAAAAACATCACAGCCAAATGGGGTTCTCTCCAAGCAGAAGTTTCCTCGGTGCATTTGCTCAAGTACAGGAGCAAACTCCTATTTGGAAGTGAGGTCATCCATCTTGGTCGTCTGAGTTGTGGTGCAGGCTCCAGACTCATGTGTTCAGCGATAGGTGTCTTCCTACCAGATCTATGTAGGGCACGCCTCTGCTTCTTCCTCCTGGTCACACACTGACTGGGGGTGAGTGCACAGCTCTGAGTTGAACTTGAACACTGCACAGTGTGCCCTTGAGCTGCACAGTGTGCCCAGTGACACTTGAAAACATCAAGGGACATTTGAAAGCATCCACCGCCTCTCCAACCAGAAATATTCTCAGTTGGGCCGGGTACCTTCCCTTGTGTGTCTCTTACACTGATTCATACCTAATGCCGCCAGCCCCAATCCCGCACCCTGGATTGAACTCTTTGTTTTCTAAGCGATCGTCTTAGGCTTTCTCTTTTACGCTCAAACAAAGCCATCTTCTTTCTGACTGCTGAATCTCTCTGTATCCCTTAGAGATACATCTTTTCAGAGCGAGGGTGTAGTGGACCATCTATAAATGGCGAAGGCCAGGCCTCTGGTATTTTGTCATCCAATGTGATATTTAGCATCTAATTTGCGTCCCATGGCGCCCTTACCTTCTCTTGTCATACAGTTCACGTCAGCCAGCAACTTTGAGGAACATGCCTCTCTTTCCCACTCAGCTCTGAGCTCATTAAGAAGATGGCCCTTTCTGATCAGCCATACCCACAGCTTAACGTCGAGCCTGCACTTAATGTAAAATTAGGTATTTATGGGCAAAATAAATATCTAATTGAAGAGGGCTTAATAAGAACAAGTCTGTCTTGGAAGAAGTGCAGTCAGAATGCTTTTGAGAACTGAGGGCAGTAGCACTGTCTTGTGTACTGTATCCATGTCGTCAGTCTGACCAGTCCCCTGGAAAGGACTTTGTTTGGTAAAGCAGAGGGCCAGTGAGGAGGAGGAGGACCTCCGTGAGGTGGGTTGACATGGGGGCTGCAACAATGGGCTCAAACACAACAATGCGAGGCTCGCCAGGCCCAGCAGGTTTCCTTCTGGTGAGTCAAAACCAACTTTTTGGCACCTAACAATAAGAGGCGCCTAAGGACAGTAATATCAACTAGAAAATTAAGGGGGTTTCAGACAGTGTGTGGAAAAGTGATGTTATGAAATAATGACATTTTCCCATGAGCATTTTGAAACCCTCTTGTATGAGGGTTTTGGAAGTTCAAAGAACATCTATTGTTTGGTTGGCTTCTTAAAAATAATTTAAAATTAATCAATATCCTGCCTGACTAATTGTCTTTTTCCTGTGAGTCTTTGCAACAAAGCACCAAAGGGACACAATTTTAAGTCAAATTCTAGATTTTTTTAAAAAGGGGGAAGTCAGATTCTTCTTAAATTGTAGGCCCATGTGTGAATTATATCATTCCTTTTCTGATTTGCATATTCTCCAGCAAACATACAAATAAATAAATCTAGGAACTTCTGAATGAATGGGCTACATTGTAGCCAAGAAGACATAAAAGAAAGGCAAAATTTAGGGTGGTTATATTTGGATGCTAAGTCATGATATTTTATAACAATGTTAAATAATCTCTTTTCTTAGTACTTTCTACTCCAGCATTTTCATACATTACTACTTGAAATAAAGTTTGTCTCTTAATTTCAATCTCATATATCAAGCATTTAAGAAATGATAGAATGATGAGGAAAAGAGTAAAAAACAAAAACCCAAAGAACAACTCGTAAACACAGTATGGTAGAAGTCATATTTATTGAAAAAAATCAGCATCTTTGCTATAAAATTTATAACAGGAATATTTACTGGATTTTTATTTTGATGCATAAACCTGAATGTTACTTACCAAGTACAAGACAGTAGCACTAGTTTTACCTTTATTTACATTTTATGAAAATTGTTATGCAGTCCATGTTAAAAGAACTTATGATGGAGAATTGTTACATTAGAAAAATAATATTCTTGATAAAGCATTCTCAAGGAGTCCAGTCACATTTCTTTCTGCCTCTTCAATAAGGCAAAAGTCCCTGGAACAGCATATAACTTAATTTACAAAATACGATGTAACTGTTCAGACACATATTCAAGTTTTCTTTTGGTATGATTTTTCCCCCCATCACTGTAAAATTGCTTTGTTGTTGCTGTACTAAAACAGAAAGAGAAACTTTCAGGGAACTGCCACTTAATGATTTCAGCTATACATTACATATACAACTCCAGGACCTACTGACCACCATTGCTACAGCGTCATCGACTGTAAATACTTCGCTGGGTGAGCTATTCTCAAATGTAGCGTATTTGAAGAAGACTTCTGCCAGCTGACTGTGGAATCATTGTTTGCTTTTCGTAGGCAGACAGATCTGTCACAGTATGAAGCTCGTCTGTTTTAAGGAACTGGTACACAATTACAATTCCACTCACGAGGGAACGCACGGCTGGGGCTGGAGTCAGACTTTGAAGGCCCCACGTCGGCCTGCCGCACATCTTCTCAGACGGCACAGCACACCCCTGCCCGCAGCCCCACCATCCGGAGGGTTGGTTGGGTTGCTTTCCCTCTTGGCAGTTAGGGACTTTTTATCCCTTCAAAGGCACACAACTTCCACCTCTTTTCCAGCGTTGCTCCGACACCCGTGAACTCCTGCTTAAACATGCGTGGCAGCCTCAGCAGCAGCGTCTCAATCTCGTTCGCAGATATCTGTGGGAGAGGAAAAGAGGGTGCTGTGGAAAAGGAGCTCCTTGGGCATGCTGGAAGAAGGGAGGACCGGCTCGGCGGCACTAACCACCTGCAGGGCGTCGCTGTCACTGGCTGCCCTACAAGAAGAGCCACAGATGCCGGCTGGATGTGACTGTCAGGTGATTCTCATGAGGTAGTCACTTGGGGGGTGGGGGTAGCCTTTAGCGTCTACGTTTGACACCGGCTCTAAAATTACGTTTTAAAGGAGGCCAAACAGCCAAGAAGTCAAGGCAAGTGTTCATTTGATGTTCGATGCCAAAGCTTCCATAAGGTGTATTCAGTATTCCCTGGTCTATGGAATAAAATGTCCATTGAACAGAGGCTGCTGCCCTGAATGTTGAAAAGAATGTATTCTAATTGAGTGTGCATGAGCAGGCTTGAAATCTGAATACATTTTACTGTAAGACCACGCTAGAAGCCCAGGCAAACTCCCTGAAGTTTTATTTGTCAGATAACAAAGAGTTCAGAGTGGCACTGAGAAGTGCATTTTGTCTCTGAGGGCTCTGGGTGAGGCACTTTCTCTAGCACTCTCTTTTCACGCCCACAGCACAAGTGCAGGGTGGGCATGGGGATCTGCTGCCCTTCCACAGGCCAGGGGCCTGAGTGAGTCTCAGGAGC